TCTATCGCTTTGTAATCCATAGTTTTTAATGGCAATATTCAGATTTAATTCTTGTCTCGTGTATTTATTTATATATATTATATATTTATTTATGTTTATGTATGTTTATTATAATTTTGTTTATCTTATTATATTTAAGTCTATTTTGGTATTAAGTAAGTTTATTGAGCACACCACCTCCCACTATTCATTAGTTTATTTTTCCTCGCCTTAAGGTTGTCTGGAAGAGATCGCTTTTTAGCGATAAGACCGCCTTATTGTACCTAGCTTTTAAGACTTATTTCATACTAATTGTATCAAATTCTTTGTGGTGTACAATAAAGTATATAATAATAATAATAATAATAATTTAAAGTTATGCATGCACAAGAACCTTAAAATTACTTAAGAAATTAACGGATAAAATAAAACATAAACACAAAGACACTATCTATTGCAATAGAGTAAGATTCTAATTTGGTATATATAGCTTAAAATTTTATAATAATGTTTGATGAGCATTCGATTTTCGTTGTATCGCATATTTGTGAACCAATAAGATTGTGATCTACGCCGCTTTATGCGAAATCAATTGACCTTCATAAAGCGCCTTAAATGTTATCTTTCGCCAATTACAACAACAATATTATCCCACAAAAACCCCTGTTAATTCAGTCGGTATAAAGAATTGTTACGATAACCCTAACATTAAGTGTAGTACCAGAGACGGTTAAATATAATAATATTATATAATATTTCCGGACATATTTCTACACAGCCTTATCTACTCTCAAACGAAGTAAAGATTGAACTAAGCGTATTAAGTGACTGACAAATAGACTTAAACATTTTTTAACAGTAGAAAAGTACATACTGTGTTCATCACACTGTACTTTTTCAATACTGAGAATCGAATCTACACTCTGTAGCGCGAGAGAAAGGCTCAAACTATCCGATACGCCAATGGGGTCTTCAAAAATAGTACCCGGAGGACCGAGGTTTGCTCGGTTTGTTTTTTTTTTGGTAAATCGTGTATTTTGGAAATTACATTTAGATACAAATTACTGAGTAATGAAATATGCATAATATTTTTCGATCTTACCGACGTAATAATAAGAAAATATGAACTGATGTTTTTCACAAAAGAAAGAACTTTAAAAAAAAAGGGAAAAAAATAACAAAATAACAAATCGACAAAAATTAAAAATAAAGAAAGCAATGATCTGGAATCGAAAAAAAAGTAAAAAAATAAATGTATAAATGATCATGACGCGAACCACGGCCGTCTGTTTTGGGGCCGCCCGATTACCGACCGAGCTATTTGGATATTTTCTCTTGTGGCGAAATTTACCGTCATATTCGAATTATATTTTTCATTCCCTGAAAACAGGGATAAAAGGACATTTTCTAAAAATGAAACCTAGCTAGATCGATTTTTCGCCCCGAATCTATGCACATACTAAATTTCATGAAAATCACTGGAGCCGTTTCCGAGATTCCGATTATATATATATATATATATATATATACAAGAAATGCTCGTTTAAAGGATAAGATTACGGGACAAGTTCTGTATCGATACTTTCACATATCAAACTATAGATACTGTCCTGTATCCAACACCGAGACGCATCCTGCTCTTTTTTTTTTAATAACGGAACTGACTACCGCTTGACTGCCATCCCACCTGATGGTAAGTGGCGATGCAGCCGATGGTGGTAAGCTAGCTCAGCAAGATCTTTCACTCTTGCCTTAAAGTCGTCTACTTTATAATGGGACGAGAAGACCGACGCCGGCAGGTTGATCCACTGCTTAGCCGTACGGATGATAAATGACGATGCGAATCGCTTCGTTCTTGCGCGTGGAACGTCGACAGACACGGTCCTCTACTACTCACTCCCTCACTCTATAACTCTGTGTTCTCTCGTTCTCATCTCCAATACTAAAATATACTGTCTGCTTACAAACGCCGTGACGCGTCCCTCCCCCCACTCCACCATTATCGGACGTTATCAATTGCTTTGTTTACTCGATACACGCGATAAACAGTTCCACGAAGCGTTTCGGGCGTTTCCCCTATCCATTCATTCGTTCATTCATGCGGTGATTAAATGCCTTCGATGCGGTGGAGGGGGTTAGTTGTAAATAAAAAAAAAAACGTGCTTGTACTTACGCACGTAAGAAGTTATACTTCTTTTGCGTAAAGAAAGAAAAATAACACTAATATATTTTATATCGTGTGCCAGTACGATTTGCTAGTGACATGACACAAGACATTAAATGCAATTTGATAACGGTTCTAATTAAATCACTCTGAACTCTAGGGACATTTCAAAAATATGTCACATTTTGGTGTCGCGCATCGTAAAAATTATCACCCTCTCCTAATTGCTTCAAATGCTAAATAACAATGTAGAAAGAAGACGGACGGAAGGCGACAATGTTTTCGTACTTTTTCTACATGTTTTAATATCACCCTCATCGTTTTTCTCCTGAAACGAACCAAAAGTAGTATTCTCAATCAGCTCAATTAAGTAAAAAGAGAAAAACCAGCATTCGTATTAACACTAAAATAGGTACGATTGAAATTTATTTGATTATCAGATTGACATTGATCGCCTCTCGATCTTTTAGAACCATAATTTACATAGATAATTATAATTATTTCTCGTGTGTGTACATACATATCTAATCGAATATAATTCTGTACCTACTAATTGTGGCCATTTTGGGTTCCGTACCCAAAGGGTAAAACGGGTCACTATTACTAAGACTTTGGTGTTGACACCAGGCTGTACCTCATGAACCCTAATAGTTAAAGGAATAACAGAATGAACAAATATTTCAGTGGGCGGTCTCATATAACAGATATGATTTTTTTTCGCCGTTTTTATAAATAATGTTACGGAACGCTTCGAGCGCGTGTCCGACTCGCAATTGGCAGGCTTCTTCATTCCATTGATAGCACTCTTTAAAGACGATTAATGAAACATTGATAATGTGTTAGATATTTTCGATGATTACAAAACTCCGATTCATAATAGATACTGTCTAATTTTCAACAACGAATTCTTTTAATTATTTATTTATCTAATCAGAAACTAGCACCCACTGTTAAGTATTTGCTTAATCTCGTGTACGGCATTTATTACAGATAATAATGTCTTTGTTATAGTAATATATGCCCATTTTGTGCCCACAATAACATTCTGCGTCGAGACGACGATCAAAAGGAGTACAAAATCTGTACATTCCTCGTTAAGTAAAGGTTAGAAGTCGAACTGCTGGACAAGAGCCTCCTCTGTATATTGGGTATTAAATCACCAAGCGACCGAACTGCGGATTGGTAGACTTAACATATCTTCGAAACTATTTTTATATTGTTATTAATTCGTAACATAACATTCATACGATGTTTTCCTTCGCCGCTGAGCACGTGATAATTCAGCACATAAACTCGACCAATTTCATTCGTTTCGCCACCGGGATAAACTCAGGTTGCTCGAGTATACTGAATCAAAAGCGAAGGCCGGACACTGAGCCATCGCGGAACGTATACGAATATATAGAACACGAAACCAACGCGTCACAAAATGCTCGGGCGCGATTTAACCGACGCTCCGCTTCTCTGGAAACTTCGACTATCCCAACGGGAACAACGTTTGCGTATCGTGTCGTGTCGTATCAAACGCCCTTGGCGCGACATTCGCCGTTTTGCGCGCGCACTCCGCAATTTATGAATCGCCCGCCACTCCATTGATACGGGCGGCGGGCGAGACGTTGGTCCCGCGTATTTATAACCGCTTGAAATACCTATTCGCGTTCGACCTTATGTAACCGATAACGTCTGTGCTAGTCAATAGTTCCACTGGGTCGATGTCGCGTACGTTTCGTAACGATTTCGCCGGAGATAGAAGCCAGCTGTTTTTGGCCATGACTTTTAATCTAGCCATTTTTGAGGATGTACCCGGATGATAGTCGATGTTCAAATCAATCAAATCAAAAATATATTTATTTAAAAATAAATTTTTCGACATGTTTTCGAGACGGCATTTTCTTTTGGACATAGTTTTGAGACATTCTTTAGTCTGTTTTTTTTTCTGAAGCGTGAACGAAAGTGAACCCTAAGAAGAAGTGAGGCAATCGGTGTAGTTGTAGATATAACAAGCGACGCAGGGGAAGTTGCGGGTAGCAGCTAGTTCATTAATAAAGTTTAACTTGTTGTTCGTTACTAAATTAAACGCTCTAGATGTTATATCAAGCCACAGAGGTTTCGGCAATTTTACGAGTATTCGCTATACAAGTCAGGAGGAGTTCAAATAAACTTACTTTATTAAAATGAACCAAATTGTTCCACTATGTCAATAGTAGTCACCTATTATCGACAAACTTGAACTAGTTAGTCATATGTATATTATATACATGTACAATTACAACAGCACAAGTGTCAATCAATGTTACTTAACTAATTTTCAAGGTTACTTGTCGGTAGGTTACAATAAGTATGAAACACAAAATGTGCCCCTAATAGTAATAGCATTAGAATAAATGTCTATAACTTGGTTAAGATTTTTAGCGACCTCATCCAACAAAAAAAGGCAAATATCGGATCAGTTCCGATAAAGGTTTAGAATTAAGAACATTTATCATTACATGGAGATTTTTGTAAAATTGTCACAGAGGGAACATTATTCCGTTCGACATGGCCTTCACAAAATATAAAGGTCAAGAGTGACCGCAGTGACCTTCCCGCGTTTTCATAAACACGATCAGACCTGTACAGTCAGTCGACGGGGTGATAATAAAGAGTATCACACAAGTGAAGTATGTAGAAGTATTCTTAGAGCGTTCCCTTGGGCGGACGACGTTATCAGGTACGTGTCTGCTGCGATCTTCGTTTGTTTAGCACAAACCACGTGCACCTATCCATCACAATGGAGCCGGCGGCCAGAACGCGCTGACCGCGCGGCTCCGTGCTCCGCCCACACGTCCAGACTGTGCTGGAACGTTTCCAACACTAGATGGGGGGGGGGGGGGGGGGGGGGAGAGAAGAAAAGAGAGGGAGAGAGACAACGCGCTGGCACGAGGCGCGAACGACGCGGCCCGACACCGCCGCAACACGACGCGCGGTCAACGCAAAGAAGGGACAAGCAAAAGGGAAAGTGGCGAGCAGGTCCCGTTGGCACGGATCCAGTCTGGTGCGAAATTGGTCCGGATGCGGGGGGAGGGGAGGGAAGCACCCAACAAACCCCCCCCCCCCCCCCTACCTCAATAAATTCATTGAGAAGAAGCGCGGCGAAAGTAACAATCAACTGACATCCAACCTAATTCCGTTCGCAACAGACAGCAAAAACGAAAACCTAGTGTTACAACACATTGTGAACGGGCGTTCGGGCGTCCGTGTGTGTGAAAATGTAATTTATGCTGCCCGTCATAGAGTTAATAATGGATCGGGAGGGGGGAACGAGGGGGGAGGTTTCAATTCGCCGAGCGTGTCGGTTTCCGCCAAGTTCACGAAGACAACAAATCGAATTTGCTCCATTGTAACGCATGTAACGATCGACTTTTCAAGTTGATTTTTCCTTCTATACCAACTAGTTTTCCAATTAATTCACTCCGGCGTGTAGCGTGAGCTAATAGTGTTGTAGAAGGGACATTAGTTATATTATATTTCGGGAGTATTCAGAGGTAGCACGATCTGTACGTAGCGATTTTTTGATATCGCGCGATCGCGACTATTATGTGTGGCGAAGCAGACCGCCAGTATTTTGTGTAAGTTATTATCTCTTTCGATGATGGTCTGTTTATATCACGTACGGAAATGGACATGTCATTATACTAAATCATGTGTTTGTACTTGGTTTAACTAACGAATTGTGACGGATTCAGGCATAAGTCCAAATGGAGACAATGGAGGCCAGCAAGACTTTTTCATCGCATAAAGATCTGTTATATAACTGATCATATTGATGATACGATTATAAATTATATGATTTGTTTTTCTTCTATCATCATTTTCGAGTTTACATGTATCATTTGCTAGCGATTAATATCAGTAGCATTCAAACAGCTTGACTAATTTAGTTTATATTCCTGCAGTTATGTAGAGTCAATGTCATATCGTACAAGAATATTTCGATAGCTAGCTGAGAGCATAGATCAACCGTTGGGAGGGGTCTATCATAGACCTTAGTTTCAACAGTGAATAAAAAGGTTCAATAAATTAGTTCCGTAAGTGCCAGTCCGTACAGAAGTACTTTCCGTTACTCATATCGCACTTAAAAGCACCCACGACCGTTCACGCGTATTATTGCAACCGAACAAAATTGAATTGACATTTGGTGAGACGACGTTTTAGCCGCGCACTGCTGCACCACTCGGAAAGATTATAGTTTAGTTTTTACCGGTCAGACGATGAAGAAAACTGTGGAGTCGCTACACATTAGAAATTCATGCGCTAATGAGTTTATTTTATTAATATATATTTAACCTAGTCATTAAACATTTCAATTTATTTATAAGAAATAGGGAAGCGATAAAACTTGCACACTTTTCGCGACAATCGTCTCACACTCAGCTAGATAACTTAATGTATTGAAACATGAATAAAATGTTGATGCACCATGATACATTATGAACCGAAACTAGTTGAATCATGCGCGATTATATAATTGTCAGCTTGATAGTCATAGTGAGAACTAATTATTGAAGCTGTAACCAATGCGAAAGAACAAGAAAAATCTGTTAAAATGATTAATAGAAAAGAATCATGAAAATTTGAAGGTTGAGCGGGGTAATACAACAATTTTGACCCATAGGACATCGACATGCACATTTAATCATAAATATATAACCCTTACTAATATTATAAAGATGAAAGCTTGTATGTATGGATGGATGTTTGTTATTCTTTCACACAAAAACTACTGAATAGATTTTAATGAAAATTTACAATAAAATAGCTTTTACATCAGAAAACACATAGGTTATAATTTATAAATATATTGTGTGAATTGTACAGAATATAGGTAATGATAATTGTCAAATAAGTCGTGTATAATAAAAAGCTTGTTATTGTTAATTCCCTCCGGCCGCGCGGGTGAAGCCGCGGATAACAGCTGGTTGAATTATAAATATCATAAAAAGTTTGACAAATAGATAGCTATTTACTTCTGTATATTACTTTCAATTATGAACTTTTGAATTTTATTGTAATGTGCTTACATATCTAATCTAATTGTAAAGCATTAATCGTAGTAACAATAAAATTTGTCTGTATTTCACGATTTATAGTTTCTATTTCTGCAGTCGAAAGTCGAGAATTCAAAATAAAACGTGTTTTATTATTAAATGAGGTGTATAAGATTTAATAGCGTTGTGTTTTAGTAAAGAAAAAATATATTTAAAATAGTTAATTATCAGTGTCAGGAATGTTAGAGTTGAATATCTTTTATTGCACGTAAAAACAATTCAATCTCTTTATAAATGAGAATACAGACCAGTTAATGTTGCTGAAAAAGCACGTTACCTGTAAAATAAAATATTTTATGGTTAATAAATATAACTCTCATAGACTTTCATAGAAACAGTACCGTTACACAGTGTTTAGGAGTTGTTAACATGAGGAACTTATACGTTACTCATGGCTGATAAATCATAAATAACATTGGAACAATTACCTGCCTTCAAATATTTATAAAAAGAGTTATTATAATATAAATAAATAGACGAATGATAATAAACCCTGGGAATGAGATGAAAGCTATTTGTAAAAAATATACATGTTATGAGGAAAAAAAATTACAAAAAAGCAAATAAATATTCCTTATTTCGAAGAATAAATTATGTGATTGGATTTGCTTCCCTCATCTCTTGTGAAGGCTAAGGTAATCAATCGCCTGGAGCAGAGAGGACTTTGAAAACTAAGATCAAAACAGGAAAACAGGAAATATTCGATTTATACGTCCTTCGAAGGACGTTGAGAATTTTGTCGGTATGGCAATCAGCCGTTTAACTTAGTGGCTAGAGCGTCAGGGCGCCAATCCCGAAGACGTGGGCTCGATTCCCACAGTGGCCAAGAACTTTTCATTCCTTTTTTCTACAAAAAAAAATAATAATACGTCCGTTCTTCGGGATGTGTTCTACTGATACGTGTACATTGAAATATGTACCTACATGTATATATAAATTGAATTTAAAGCCAATCTTCTTTAATGTGTCATGGCAAATGCGCAAGCTACCGCTTACTGACTGTATACTGTGAAGTGATTACCGCCGTCCATAGACTACAACATCTGTAGGGTTGCCCTCATTTAAAAGAAAATGGAAACTATACTTCCACATCACGCTGGGAGTTCGTGGTACCTCCCGGTAGGTGTGCCGATCTGTGAACCGTCAGAACCCTTGCCACAATAAAATATTTCTTTCGTCTTCCTTTTAATAAATAAAAATGAGTTTTGGTAAGCGCATAACTCAAGAATGGCCGGACCAATTAGGCTAATTAATTTTTTTGTATGTGCCTTAAGGTCCACGGAAGGTTTTAATACTATAAAAAAAAGAAGGAAGTTTGTCCGGGCAGCTAGTTTTTGAATAAAAGACAATTACACGCGATACTTTAACAATTGAGGTTAGAGAATTTGCCACCTGTATGTGTCTAAAGGTGTTCGAGCACATTTGTTGGTGGTTATAATTTCAAAACGTTTACGTTTTTTATGGGTGCAAGTAAACAAAAAATAATTTAGTGAACAGACGTGACGAAACTTGTAACAAAGGATCTAGCTCTTGGTCTAAGTTTTTGTTGGATTTACTCAACATTAAACATTTTCGCCATTTATGTATTGTCTCGTTCAAAATCAGGCTCACACCTTACAATGAATGAAAAGTTTCAACTATTTCGAAAACCGCTACTAACCGTTTATTTAAACCACCCTTCTTCATTACCTACACCCTGATATTAAAAAAGAAAACAATAAGTCTCAGACTGCAATCAGGGCTTCTTAATCCGTGGGTCGCCCCATCTAGGGTAGGTATAAAAATAATTTCCACGCAAATGAAAAACATAGAAAAATATAAATGAAAAACGTTACGTGACTCCCGACACTTAAAATTGTCTGTTGGGGGCGGAGGGAGGTGAAATTAGTTTCGGGCATAGACATGTGGCATTTATGAAATAATAAATAAATAAAAAAATAAACCGAGAAAGAAAAAAAAACATCAGAAAAAAATCTCGTTATTAGAATAGTTGAAATTAGCTGTTTTTATGTTCACTGCATGGCTCAGTTTGATCACAACGAAAATATTTTCAAGCATTCAAATAAAACGAATTAAACCAATCTAGTTGAGAATACACTTTTGAAGTAAAATAATTACTTTAAAAAACTTTTAAGTTAAACGGTTTTATTTTATGTTTTTTTTTGTTAAATTTTTTTTTGTTAATATTGTATTGTCATCTAAATTAAATGTGTGTACCAAATTTCAGATCAATCTGACAACGGCAAGGTGCTTAAATTTCAATTTCTAATTTTGACCCAAATAAATAAACAAACAAATTCCGTACGGGTCGAGCTAAATAAAACCGTTTAAAAAGGACTAAACTTTATTTTTGTACATTCTATCACTTCTTTTCTTCAACTATTTAATTTTCATGTACCAAAAATTATGAACTTTCAAAACAGATTTGATTGAAACTTGTATTAAATTACATACATACCGATCATTGCAATAAAATTAATAAATTGTTTAGAATAACGTTTGAAGAGATCTTGGAAATTACTACAGACAGTTAACAGACACGGAAACAAAGGCGTCTAAATTAAACCCCTTCCCTTTGGGGTGTAGAAAATGAATGCGCGTCGGACACAATGTCACGTTCTGTAGTTCACAGCAAACCCAGCTTTAGTTCAAAAGAGTTTTGGAGCCGATTGGTTTGTCTTCTTTTCGTGTCGATACCAAAACTTATTCTTTTTTTATGTGAAAAGTTGCCAGGCGGTTCACCTGATGTTAAGTGAATACCGCCTTCCATGGACATCTGCTACACCCGAGGGTTCTAGATGCGTTGTCAACCTTGTGAAAATTCGCCCATTCGTGCAACAGCCGAGGCGGCTGCGTGGCCCTACACAGAGTATATTCAAACGCTATCGGCCCAAAATTCAGGCACAAGAACTGCACTCTCAGCAGTGTTCATCAGACAATCTGCACTTGGTCGGGCTGCAGGGCAGGACTTAAAGTGTTCCATTGTTTGGGGAACAGCACCATATTTGGTTAATGTAATTTCATAATACTAATGACACTATTCGGAACATCGTTTGTGGTGTAGGTACCGAGCGAAACGACAAACTCTGTCGACGGTAATCATCAATCAACAATCGTCCTTTAAATATAAGGAAATTTATAACATGATCAGGATTTTCATTCGCCATTCGGACAAGGGAGATCAACGGCGGATGAGGCGATTCAACCTCGTTCGTCACCTCTGCAAATAAAAAAAATTGGCGCTGCGGTAATACTATAACCAATAATACTTTTTTTATTTTTTATTTTAACATGTTTTTTTTAGTAACTTTTCTTTTTTTTT